ACCACTCGATGGATGTTAATAACTACAACTGTGGTTAGAGGTGGGGCTTTGGTGACAGTAGGCAAAGTAAAGAGGCTTTGGCTCCCAGCCACTTACTATTACCACTCTTTCACTGAGGTTTTTTTTCTCCCATTCTCCCCAGTCCACAAACAAGCATCCATTCCCCAATCCAACTGTCAAACCTTTAGAAAATCTTCAGCTACATAAAGTGTTTAAGCTAACACAGATAATACTTTAAGAACTGAGTCAGGGAGCAGCCACACACCAGTTCATGTAGATATATCATATGGGGAAAACATCCAATAGGAGAGGCAGTAACAATGGTCAGTGGATACTCTTCCTGAAGCATAGCATGAGCTGATATATGCATCTGCATGCTTGGCATATTTTCTGCATATTACAATCTAGAAGTAAAAAAATAGGGGATCTTAACCCTAATGAAGGAACTGAGTAACTATTCAGCCTCTGCATTTAGGCTGCAAACTGCTCCACGGCAAAGACTTCCCTGCCTTGCATACATTGTTGGTACACAAGAAATAAAGGAAGAGGTACAGCTGTTCATGAAGCAGAGCGTAATCTTGACTTGCTCTAAGAATATGCCAAGCTGCTTCCTCCAGTTTGTATGCAAATTTATTACTGAAGACAATAGAAGTATTGATGGAAGAAATTCAGCTTAGAATTGGAATCTATCAAGGGACCACTGGAATCAAAGTAGATCTTAAGCAGCCCTTTTCTTTCTAAAAATTTTTAAGTGACAAATATTTACATATTTATCAAAGTGATCCTTGTATCCACTGAGTATTTAGTTACAGATGCTAGGAACAGAACATAACTGCAAAGGGAGACAATAAGGTCAAACAATCTCCATTTATCCTTTTAAACATGATTATCAATTCCCAAAGCACTCATGAAAGTCTGCAAGATAATCCAGTACCAGACACCCCCAAACACTGATACTAGAGCTATCAGTTGTGCTGAGAGCCAGCTAAACTGTTATTGTACTCACCAGCAGTCTCAAAGTACATTTTCTTACTGATGTATTCAAACTGTGCGTTGTCTTCAAACTCCTACAGCACACAGTCTTAGAGATCCTATTTTCAGTTAAGCAATGAATAGTAATTGTAGAAGTTCAGATCTTTAATTAAAGAAAAATAGATTCACCATAGTTGTAGGGTATAGAATTGAAGAAAATACGTAGCTTAAGATTTTTTTTCTATTTTTTTTAACACCTGAAATCGTGCAAGTGAGCTATTCTGTTCAGCTTTTATCATATTTTGAAAATAACAAAAACTGGCCTTCTTTACTCTTCAGTGCTACAGCATCAGGTAAGAACATGTTACCACAGGATACATCAGGAGATGTTGGCCAGTGTGTGCTTCTTGAACAGGACTACACCATACACACAAACTGAGGATGCTGGAGAGCCTGTAAGCCAGCTGTAAGGATGGAGCAGCAGGGGCTGCCTGCTGTGAGCAACAAGCTCTCACTGCTCTGCCCAGAGATTCAGAACACTTCCAACTCAATCGCTCATCTTGGTGGAACAGGACAATTCACAGGAAATCTCTCACATCCCCTATATGCAGAGTTCCTCCCCCACCCATCCCCAGACTGTCAGGAGCACATAGGAGAAGACAGAATGACACAAAGGCTGAATACCCATGAATGAAGATCTTGAGAACATGTTCAAAATGGCTAACTGCAATTCCAAGAACTGTTTTGACCTCCTATTGCATTCTGTAGGATAGGACAGAGGTATGTGGTCACCTATTCAGAGCAGATTAAATCTATTTGTTCAATAACTAACAAAATTAACCAGCTGAGCACTAAAATGCAAACTAAACTTTAGAAAAATACCAATAAATTTAAGCATTTACCATTGGAGAAGTGAGTTTTTCTTTAGATATTACACAAACAAGATATTTAAAAACTATGCAGCAGTGAACCTGTGCATTCCCAGGGCTTGCACACTAGGGCAGGTTCTTATTCATATTTCACTCCACATTAGCATGAATTCAAATATGGTATAGCCCCTGGTTAAGTTGTATCTTAGTTCAGTTAAAGAACCTCTAAGAATCTACTTCTTTATTCACTGATGCCAAGCACTTTAGAGAACTCCAGCTATGACTGCTTTGATGATAGATGTTGGTTTTCTTGTTTGTTTTTTACTCTAATACTAAAAGCTTGACAGGCTGCAGACATTCCCTGCCCTTCTCCAGCATTTTCAGGGACCTTGATCAGCTAGCAGCATTTCCTCTTTAAGAGACTGTGCCAAGGGTCACTCAGACTTCACAGGAATTGGGAAGCCCTGAAAGCAACAAAGCCCAGATTTAGGGAACATTTTGTCCTTATTTTTAGAAGACTTACTCCACACAACTAGTTTAAAGGCTCCAACCTCCTAAGGTTTGCAACAGACAAACAGTTTTAGGCCATACTCAAAGGTTTCTGAGTGCAGACAACCAGTTTATAAGAAAAATAGGTTCCCTGAAGAATTAATCTGAAGTATGATCTATTTATTGCACTCAGAACAGCAGTGCTTAAAAAAAGCTAACAGCCCACACAAGGGCTGCAGGTCGTTCAGCATCAAAGGTTCAGCATCATTTATATATCTGAGTGAAAAAATAAAGAGGATGCCTTCATTCAGGCTGGCCAAATTCTCACTATACCAGATGTATCCACAACTGGCATGCTATTGATCAGAACTGTCCTTGTCAGCAGAAAGAGAACAGGGTTTATTTCCAAGAGGATTATATACGTACTCCTCCTTTTTCCCCCACATTCCAAGCTAAACCTCATGCAATGCATTTGATCAGATGAGGACTGGGCATGTGTTCCCTAGTACAGAGGCATTAATGAGTCTGTCACTCTGGTATAGGATTACTGTATTCAGACACGGAATGAAAGCTGTTGGATGATTGCTACTGAGGTTCTATTGCTAGAGCAATGGACTTGATAGCTGGAAGGGCAAGGTAGTATCTGTGACCTGTATTTTATTCTTGGCTACACATACCAAATCAGTAATTAGCATACTTCCTGCTTCACCATGCAAAGAGGGAGTTTTTCTCAGAATTGTTCCTATTTGAAAGAGGGCCAAAACATAAATGTTTCCCAGACATGGGCCATACTTTTAGCTCTGGTGGTTAGCAATAGGGAGGTAGCAAGACGAGCCTAAGTCAGCCAGAAAACAGCAAATTACGTTGACCAGGAAGCCACTACAGTGCTGTTTATTCTAGTCCAAACTTGGTGTGAGTTGTAAAAGGGAAAGAACTCTGACTGCACCTTCACCAAGAAGGCTTGTCAGAATGGTGGGCTGACATTGTGTGCAGAACACTTGGTCCATCAGAACTGTACACACCACATTAAGTCTTTATTCAGCTGAGACGCATGCAGCTGTAGCATAACTCAGAGGTAACGTGCTTATAATAGCATTAAACAAGATTATTTAAAAAAAAAAAAAAAGCAAACAAGATTTACATGCATTGCACAACTCTCACAACATTGGGAAGTACAGCTGTGTACTTCACCTGCCTGTGCATTAGCAATTTTACCAGCTATCTGTATGACCACAAAAAAGTGTTCACAAATCAACTTCAGCTGAATAGGAAAAGGCATGAAAAATTTTAAGTTCTTTAAAAGATAATTGCTTCCCCCTCCTCCCCCCCCACGCCAAGCACCACATTAATGAGATGATACTATTTAGTTATAATAATCTGCACATATACTTACATCACAAAAGATTCATCTAAAAAGCATTAGAATCACTACTGGTCATATTTCACCCATAACCAACAAAGACTGGAGGTTCTGTTGTTCCTGTTTGCTTTGTTTGTTCTCCTCCCCCCAGGTAGGTCCTTCCATAAAAGAAAAGCCCCCATTCTAGCAAATTCTTGTAGGAGGGCTCAGCAACAGCATGACTGATCAGAAACTAATTTAAAATCCGCTGATTTATAAATCCATTCTACACCAGTACCTTGCTAAGCAGAAAGGAAGCAGAAGACTCAGGACTTAATAGTGTACCACAGAAACAAGCTGTATTCCATCCCTGGCAAGTGCCCCTCTTAATTAGAAATCCTTTTGCAACATGAAGGCCCAAAGACTTAGAGCACATAAAATCTTCAGATTAACAGAGTTTAACAGTGAGTCCAGTCAAGCTCCAAGTCCTGTAAGGGATTTTTTACCTTCTGTGCAGGGCAAGAGCTCCCAGCAACTGTTACAACTTGCACGAAACAGTTCACAAACTCATATCTCCTCCAAGGAAAAGGATGATACAAAGAAGCTGAATCTTTTAATGGTTCTTTAGGTGACTATTCTAAGCACAAATTAGCAGAATCTAACCCTTCCACCATCAGGGTGAAAGGATAATACCTAGGATGTCCAAACATTTTGGATTGAGAACCTGAATGTGCATTACAAGGAAAAACAAACAAACAAACAACAAAACAAAAACAAATGCAGACATCCCATCCAGCAGCATGAGAATAACCTCACTCTTCTACCAAAAGCAGCAGAGCAGGAATGAAATGATAGACATCACCAAAGAGAAACTGAGGCAATTTTCTAGTCCTGTGCTGCAAACACAGAATATCTCAAGACTACTGTAGTGAGAAAAGTGTTTATCGTTGTATCATCACTGGGTACAACAAGGTGCTCTGGAGATACTCCATCTTCAAAACCACTTTTCCATGCAATGTGTGGAGTAGTAAAACCTCTCACAGCTATGAATATACAAGTGGTATTCTATATTAGCACCAAATGAAAGTACTTTGAATTCTTAGATGCACTTTGAACTTCCATAGCAAAAAATCACATCCTGTGCCAGTCAAACTCAATTGGCATTTAGGGTTATGCTCCCTCCTGTTTCTCAAATTGAAACCACAAACCACAGAGCCCTCAAAATAAGCTTTTGAAAAAGTGCCTGCATGGAGCAGAAGTACATAGTGAAAAAAAAAAAAAAAAAAAATCACACAAGCACAGTGCTCAGAAAATGTAAGAATATTACTTACCTCAGCACAGTTCCATGTCCTCAGCTGAGAGGGCCTTGAATGTTCATTTGTGTGGATATATCTGATTATGCTGCATTACATTTTCCTTGAAAGCTCTAACAGCTTATTTCATTTCACGCACATGATGGCACTGCAAACTAAAATGGATTTTTATGAGCACTGAGATCACAGCAACCAAAGCCACATAAAGATACACAGCTAAGATGAACACAGTTTACTGTTTGATACTATAGAGTTTCTTAATGCCATTCATTTACTCCTCCATGATGGACAGAAAGGGTTAACACACAGAACTCCACACTACATTACTTAAACTCCCCACAACACAAACTGCTATGCTAAAGGGCATTCAACATGACAGCAACACCTATGTTGGTTAGTTTTGAAAGAATCAAGTTCCTCACTGGTATTCAACTGTTGTTCCAACTCAAACTGTTAGGGGATCAACAATCAAGCAGTTCCTCTGCTTTCTCTCTGCTACAAGAGAAAGTAGTAAAATACTAAGACATTTTGGCATTATTTTGGTTAAGATGCCATTGTTTCACTACTGAATTATCAGTCTGTTTGCTACTTGAGTCATCACCTTCAGAGTTTGTAATGGTCAGAGCCTGAAACAGTCAGCCAGTGATGAAAAAAAGTACTGCTTTAAGATAATTCAAGTGATTATTTCCACAAGATTGAAATTATGCACATTAACAGCTCATTAATATCCTGTGCAGGCCAACCTCTGTTGTTTAATCAATTCCTGCAAGAAGATAAAACCTTCACAACATAGACCAATGCCTGAGTATCCATAGTAGAGTTGAATAAAAGCAATAACCCTCTACAACTATGGGAGATGAGGATATCAGTGAAAAATCAAACACTGTACTCAAGCTTGCAGCACTTTATGCAGTCTTTGAGTAGTCAGCCATTGCTTCTTATCAAAACTCCCCAGAACAAATCTCTTCAAAACAAAACAAAGCAACCAATAATACCAAGTCCAGCTACAGTTGGATGCCATTAATTGCTAGGCAAGTAATATCACCATATTAAATTATGCCAACAGTATAGCCTCAAAAAAAAAAAAGTGACCTTTCAGTCTCAATCTTCCTTGCAAATTATTTCCATATATTTGTTCTGCAGAGAGCTATCTGATACAGTGATACAACTACAGGTACAGGGTCAAAAATACAGAAAGCATTCTTATCCTCAGCTTATCTTAGCCAGCACTGACAGTAAGTTCAGGAAATCAGAAGACCACTTGGTAAAACAGTTAAGCCAAAAAGAAAAAAAAAAAAAAAGGAAAAAAAAAAATACTGCAGTGATTTTCATTTTGTGGCTTGAAGTCCTTGGGGGCTCTTAATTGCCACTAAGAGCTCAAAAGGAAATAAATTTGAAAGAAATAATCCTGCTCTTGAGGCATTTAATTCCACAACACCTTGGGCAGTAAGATCTATAGAATATTTACAGCACTTCAGTAAGTGTACATATGCTCAAGGCAACTTCACATCCAAAACAGGTCTAGCAGTTTAAAAACTAATGCTCTTCAGAGCTGCAAAACCACCAAGAAAGTTACTAAAAAGCTCCCTATTATTCTACGACTTCACATGAATTCTGTGGCCCTTCCTTTGCTCCTGACTTTAAAGAGTCCCCTTTCCAATCTTCTAGGTAAAGAGAACAGTGTTCCCCTGTGTCCCTAACCCATTTATTTGACCATTTTTCCTTCTGTGCCTTACTGTATCTGAAAAAAATATTCTCTCTCCTCCCAAGTTGTGGGAATTTATACACGCTCACAAATATGCAAGAAAACAAGGGCAGGCTCCTTTTGATTTCTTTCAACTGAATAGACAGATGTAGGTGTAAGAGAAATACAATGAGAAAGTACTTTATTTTTCCATGCATTTGTCAGTTCTAGTCAGTATTATATCTTTAGATGTGCCTATTATTCTACCAGTTATTACAAATGGCATGAAATAAATGAATATGGTGTATCAGTTTTGCAGACTATAGAGTTCAGGATCTGTAGTACCAGAGCAATTCAAACACGCTGAGAAAAGCTATTTAGATAGAAATTATAACAGTCTTTTCTCTTCTGCTGATGAAATACAGCCCTCCTCCCATCTCTTTGTAGCTCAAAAAAAAAATGTAGGTCCTAAAGAGGTAGCTTCCCTTTTTGCCTTCTAGAGCATTAAAGAAAAATGTTAATTTTTAAAAAACACAACTGAAGCCAATAAGAACACATAAATGCTTTAAAATGGCATATTTTCAAGCTTCACTGCTCTGTCCCAAGAGGTTACCTGCTTTGCTGGGAAAAGCTGCTTACAGCCTTTGAAGGGTCAGGACAGAAGATTATTTAATTAGGTGGCAGCCCTCACACTGGGTTAGCAGAGAGGCAAATGCTCCATGCAAAATACATCCTGTGACACCTGCAATTAGAGAACGTTTGTATGAAGACCAGCACAAAGGGAGACAAAGATGCTCAAAGATACATAATATCTACACGTACGCAGATATAAGACAAATTTATAAGTAAATAAGAGAAAGGTGAGGCACCACAATTAGCACTTTAAAAGGAGAATGCTATGAAGGAACTGCAGCAGGAGCCCAGTCACATAAACAGGGGCATGGAAATTGTTTTCCAGGCCAAGTACTAGGCAAACCACATCATTACTGTTTATGACACCAAAGAACATAAACAGGTACATAGTTAACTTACCTGTTCATTTATCTGTAACCATAACAACCTTCCATTACATTAAAATATACACTTATCCTAGTTTTAATGGCTGTAATTATGCTGCAAAAGGAGCTTTATTAAGGCCCAGGAAGTGACAAAATGCAGAACTGCCTGAAACTTTAAAAATAGATTCAAACATTGGTACCTGCAGGAATACTATTCAGAAATGTGACAATATAATGTAAATTGTTAAATGCAAGTCATAGCTTTCTGCACTTGGTTGCACACTACCAAGTGCCATTTTGCATTTTTTAACATCTTTTAGAAGCTGGATACACAAAAGTAGCTTTGACAAGTTGACACAACAAAAAAAAATTTAAAATTAATTACTGTGACTTTGTACTGCATTGAGAGGTTCAAAACTGTGAACAGTGACATAGCCGCCTTATGAGATTAAAAAAATATATTTTCATAAGCTCTTGGCTGTCTCTACTGAAAACCAAGAAAGGTAACGGTTAAGGTATTGTATTTATCATTTCTGTTTATTTTAGTCCTATTACTTTCTGCCATAAAAATTCTAGCCATATTCAACTTGAATTAACCAATTTTTACTCCCGATTTGCATCTCTTAGATAAGGCTGCAGTGACAGAGAGGTAAGCAGGAAGGCTGTTTGACATTAGAATTTCTTGTTCTTTCAGAGTTCTTAAACTTTTATTTTTGTCTGCAGTCCAGTCAGTTTTAATACTAGTTTTTATTCCCAGATATCCTAGGAACTAGATTTTTATTTTTTTCCTCCCCTGAGAGCAGCTGTTCTAGATGCCTGTACCTGGCAGTGAGAAGAGGTGGGGTCTTCCTTGCCTGGGCTGAACCACTTCATGCTGTATCATCTTTTGCTGTGGCAAGACTCAGGTTCTTATCACCAAGGCCTTTTATCCTATTTCACTATTAAAGTAAAGCTTATGGTTCTGCATTTGTGTTTGTTTTGCTTTCTTTGCATTTGCCACCATTTAGTTTTACTCACTGCCACACTCTTTATTTCCTCATAACTAGTAGATTTTTTCTCTGCAACCTCTTTATTCCTCCCAGTCAAGCTTATCCCTTTCTGCATATCTGAAAGCATGCTGAGTACCAGCTCCCCAGCAGAACCTGAGGTATGTTTTTACACATACTTTCTAAGAGCTGCACATTTATCACCATGCTTTAAGTCTCTTAGATGAGAAATTCTTATCTGTCCTAGAGCTCCACATTTACACATTATCTAGCTTCCAGAACAGACTTTTGTACCAAAGATTCCCTGTTTCTCTCAACATTTACACATTGCCAGCTCAAGATTCTGTTGTGGTTTTTTTTCCCCCCAGGAACTCTGAAGGTGACCTTTGCCGGCCTCAGATCAGCTCAGACTCCCACAAACAACAGTGATAAAGCAGTTATTTTTCTGAGAAGCTGAAGAAAAACTACTGTTTTAGATCATAGAGCTCACGCTCAGCTACATTTCTAAATACACTAATGTGGTTTTAAATAACCCAGTGTTCCCTTCTCACACAATTAAGGTTGCCATTCCCCCTTGAGCTCGGCAGGATGGATTTTCCTTTCCCTGGCAAAGTATCTCACTATTCTGAGCCAAATACCAAACACCTGAAAGACAACATCAACACGGTACGGAATTTATTCTTTGACAGCATTAGCACAGCAATATTCCATACATGATTATTATCACCACTTCATTCCTCACACCACTGCAAGCACAGATGCTCAAAAACAAAACAAAACAAAAAAAAACAATACATTCAGCAGAGCAACCACAAGGAAATACAAAAGCAGCAAAGAGAACATAATATTCACGTGTAAGGGTATTTTACTTTACCCTTCACTGAGACTTTTAAAGGCATCACTTGGCCTACTTGAAACTTCACAATATACAGATCGCTCCCCAAGGGTCAGCCTTATGCAAGCAGTCACGCTGCCCTAAATCTTGCCTCAAAGATGTTATTTAGACTACATCTTTTAGCTTGCACTTATCAGTCTTTTTATTTTGTAGATTACCCAGGACGCAAAGCCAAACTACAGGGACTGAAACAACACAGGTAGGTAGGCTTTTAACAACCACCTCAGCACAGGATGCATCCATTAGTTCTGCATAACCACACGTGAATGCTACAGCGCCCTATAATCCTGCATGACACCTTCCAAAAAGCCCTGTGAAGTGCATCCTCTGCCTGCTTTCGCTTTATTTTCTGGAAAAGCACTAAAAAAAAGGAAGCAAGAGCTGCAGCAACGAGGCTTACGTAGCAAGAGAACACGATGGCGCAAGGAGAGCCTGCAAAGACCCCTGAAAAAGAAGCAACAGCAGCAGCTCACCCACCCCACCAACCCACGCCCTCAGCGCCGCCGCCATTTTGTCCCGTTCCCCCCCTCCCCCTCCCGCCGCAGACGCCGCGGCCGCGCTCCGCCTCCTTCGCGAGGGCGGCGCGGGGCGCGGCGGGTGCCCGGATGTGGGAGGCCCCGCCCCCGCCGCCGAGCGTTAGCGCCGCTCGCGCCCCCGCCCTCGCTCGCTGCGCGCCGTTGCGGGTCAGCGCCAGCAGCCACTGCCGCAGTGAGGGAGCGGAGCGGGCAGCGGGCCCGGCGGCGGCGGCGCCCAACGTACGCGCGCAACAGCCAGAGCGGGGCTCGGCGGATCCGGCTGCAGGGGACGACGCCTGACGCCCACCCGCCACCATGGTGAGGAGCCTCCCCGCTCCCGCCCCGACGAATATTCCAGGCCGGGCCGCGCGGGTGGGCGGCGAGGGGGGAAGCCGGGGTGGTGGGGGCTTTGGGACCCGTCTCCTCCTCCGAGCCTTTCGTGGGCCGGCGCCGCGCTTCCTTTCCCCCCCCCCACCGCTTCCCAATTCCCCTTCCTCTCTTTTTTCCCCTTCTTTCCTCTCTCCCCGGGGGCGGCCGCGTCCCCCGCTTCCCCTCGGCCGCCCCCGTGCTCCCCGCAGCGCGGCGGGGGTTCGCGCCGCCCCTCACGGCCCTCAGCGCCGCCTCCCGCGCGGCTCTCCCTCCTTTCCCTCCTCCCTTCCTCTTCTCCTCTCCCCTCTCCAGGTGCCGCCGCTGCCCCCCGCCTCGTTCTGCCCATCTCCGGCCCGGGGAGCCGTGAGGGCACGTAGCCCGGCCGGCCGGTTGCGGGGAGCTCCGTGTTGGAGCCGCTCGGTTCCCCTTTAATCATGGCGATTTAAATTTCCCTTTTACTGCCGTAAAATTAACCCGGAGATACGGCGCGGAGCCGTGTAGTATTGCGCGCCGACACTAGGGGTGTCTCCTGCCTGCCGCCGCTGCCAAGAAATCAACGCCCTGTTTTAACAAACACGTATTTTAGCCCAAATTCTCCTCTCCCGGGCTGTGGCAGCGTTCTGGCGTTGCAGTTGGAGGACTGCTGGTGGCTTAAGCTTTTCCATTCTTCCCTCTCCAAGAGCGAGGCCAGCTGTCCGTCACCACCCCGCAGGGCCCAGCGGCTCAGAAGGGGCTCTTCTCTTGTTTTTAAGCAGGGGTTTGTGGTCTCTGCCTTAAAAACTGAGCTACGTGGCACGCTCGTTGCGCTTCAGCGGCTGTTAGATGTGAATTTGAAGAAGCAGAGGCTGGGTTTGTTGTCAGCTGTGGCCTAAAACAATGTGAGTAATGAATGGCTACACGTCCTCCTTGGAAGGCAGAGAAGGAGAATTAGTGAGGTTGGAAGCTTAAAAGAAGCAGACAATTGAAATTAGAAATGACACCACAGTTGTGGTACTGCTGATGGTGCTGTGAAGATCCAGGTGAATACTTGCCACCTTCCAGACACGAGCTGTGCTCACATTGCCATTTGCTGGGGCTTCTGTGAAAATCTTGCTCTCCAGGACTTGCCTGATGCCAGCATGCATAAAAGGAAAGGAAACGTTATTTGGCAGTGATGCCCATGAGTGTATTAGCAGCCTGTAAGGAATCAGACTTTTGTGTATGATAACTTCCATTTTTTTCCTTTATTCTGCCTTAAAAGAAACTGCCTTGACATCTCTTGCTGATATATAATCATGTTGGTTATTACTTCTTGAACAGTATTTCTTTTTAGTCAACTGCCATGTGTAAATGCTGATGAGTGAAAAGGATATTCCAGATGTTACCTTGGTCAGCAAAAGGTGCATCTTTGCAAGAACAAGCAATGTGGAGAGCACTGACTGTGACAGCATCAGTATAATTTCTGGTAAAACCTGATCGTAGGTGCCTGGAGAAAATCATGTGAAAACTAAGCAGTTGTCAGATCAGTGTGTTTTTTAATACTTTTTACCACAAGGATCGTTTTAGTTGCTGTCCTTAGTGTTGTTATCCTGTGGATATTCTCCTTGAAAGCATTTGCTTTAAATAGCAAAATAGGGCAGATATTGTTTCAGTCTTTATTTAATTTCAGTAGAGAAATCTTACTTTTGTAGTTTGAAGTTCTTTGCTTTTTCTTCTGTGTTGTTACAGCGCCAGGGGGCTGATGGTTGTAGTGCAGAACAAAAGGTGAACATGTTCATAGGAGGTAGCTTAAGATATAACATTGACATCTAGTAAGTAAAAGAACGTAGCTCTGGATATTTTGGTATAGCTAGTTTAAAATCCTACCAAGCAGAGAGCAGAGTATGATACTTCCATTACATAATACTGGAAGTTGCTGTATTCTGAGTTGACAGTAAATACTGTTCCTAGAAAAACGTATTATGAAAAGGTAAATACCACAGATAGATGCTAATAAGCAATCTTGGGTTTGGTTAAATCTGTTTTCTTGGGGTCACCTGTATTAAAGCAGAAGGGGCCTCACAGTGGCCTGTCTGATTCATATCTAGCTCCTGAGCTTTATGGTTGTAGGACAGAAATATGCAGGAGTCACCCAAACCGTGTTATATAATGCATCTTTCTAGCAAGCTGAGAGAGTCTTTGGGAAATTAAAGGAGCCAGTCTGGATTTGGACACTGCTATTGCTGGTCTCCGCTTAGATGCGACTTTCTTCACTTGAGCAGTGTTGGTGCTTCTGGCACTTGAGCATCCTTGCAAGATGAAGCCATTCATTCCCAGGCTGATATAAAACGGTGTTTCTGAATGACTGAAGCCAAGAACCACCAAAACATTTCTTTCTGAAATAAAAGCAAAACAAACACCACAAAGCTGTCTTGAGTGCTTCTTTACTGTTTTTCAGGGAGGTTGCTAAATCATTAGTTGAAGGAAAAAACGAAACAAGTTATTCTGCTACCAAATCACAGTTTGACTGCTATCACTCTAAACTCTCAGGAAGCATTTCAGCTTTGCCTGCTGCTTAAGTCCAGGTGATACGGATGGGGAAGTGTTCAGTATTCCCTCCCATTACATCTGACAGCAAACTAGAAGTCTGCTGCCACACAGGAACCAATGTAGGATCCAACATGTGAAATGTGTGTGTAGGTCTTTAGAAAGTAGAGGATTTGGGGTAGGCTTACTCCAGGCATTCTACTTAGTATATGATTTTGTTTTAGAAATAAATTTTCAGGTCTGTAGTTTTGAAGCCAGTTTGAATATTTAAGTTTACTTAGGTCTGTGATCTACAGAGGAAGATGGAGAATGTTGATGAATGAGGAAAGAAACTTTTGAAAACAATTATAGTGTTCCATTGATGGAGTAAAGGTGGAATTTTGTGTTTATGCAGTGGAAGATGTGTTTGGGAGGGAGTGAAAACTGAGTCATTTAAGGGAAAATGATGTATGATGGGAGTGCCTTGGGATCTTTATTTATCTTCTAAGATATTTGACATAGCACTGAAAGAGAAGCTTTGAGGGGGTAAGATTAACAACATCTAAATTAGGACTTCTATAGGTATGTTCAAAAAGATGAGGCTGTCTTCTGACCATCCATGCTGTTGGAAAAGGCAGCCTCAATAATTGCAGGATTTCTGAGGAAACAAGGCAGACACATGCATTTTGGTGCCGAGCTGTTTCTTGGTCTGCTTCTGCTTCATCATGTCATGCAGACATACCACACTGCTGAGGTGTTGCCAGGTTGCTCTAAGAGAATTTTAATCCAGTTTGTTTGATGTAATAGATACTTCTAGGAAAAAGTGAAGATCTTTCAGCTTTCCTCTGCCTATCTGGTAATGTCAAAAAAAAATAGCTTTTTATCATTGTAGATATGCTTAATAGTGTTACAGTATGTCATTAGTTGAACAAGATTTTTCGATGTGGCCTCTATTTCCCAGCTAGCAAAAGAATCCCTTCCCCTCTCCTCTTTGCTGCCTGTGATTAGCTGACTCTGGTTAAAGAAAATTGCATCTTCCCCTAAAGTGTTTGAAGTCTGAATGGTAGTAGAGCATGAAACTGTAAAGACCTTGATTTAGTTGCAGGAAATAATGATCCAGAGTTGTGTTCATGGAAGAACTTTTTTTTTTTGTAATTTGA